GTTTGATAGCCAAATGTGTATCCCTGTGTATTATTTCAAGTGGAGCGACAGAGAGTACAAATTTTCATTTAAACTAACTGAAAAAGTGTGAGGTAAATGATCAATAAAACTAGAGAAAAGTATGGCCTTTTTACTTTTATTTTTTCCCAAACACGTTGAGTCGCAGGTCAGAAGGGCAGCAGGCGTGTGAAGAGGTCTAGCGTTCCTGTGGCGCAGCCGTCGAACATCCTGGTGCAAATGTCGACGGGGTCCTGGGCGCCGCGCGCCTGTCGACCGACTCGCTCCGCGGCGTGGAACTCGTAGTCCTCGTGGCGGAGGACGGGCTCGCGTGTGCTGGAGGGGCTGCAGGCAAGGGACGGCTACTCTGTTAAAAGCTTACAGTTTAGTTAAGCAAAATTTTTATTGGGTATATAGAATGGGGAGTAAAGGGATCAGTCAATCTGAGAGCTGAACTACAGTGAACCCTGCAGTGGGGTGCTATAGGTAGCCCTATTTTGACATGGTGGTCTCGGAGGGCCTCGGGCCACCCGAGTTACATCCAGTATTGCGAAACCTTCTAAATCCGTTTGTCTGCACGTCGTTTCCTTCTACAAATAATTCCTCTAAACCACTTGATGAAATACCTCTAAAAATTATTCTTGTAAAGTCTTAGATGTTATTTCATCTACTTTTCTATATGCGTAACAATTCCGCCAAGCGTTTAACCAAGGGTGAGAAAAAATCTACCGTAGCCTGTTGCCTGCCGAACACGTCCCGGGCACAGGAGAGGGGAGAGGAGGAGGGGGGTGGGACCCAAGAGGTGGCGCCTGCGAGACTCGGGGTAGGCCAGTCCGCAGTACACATGTGCGCTGCGGACAATTAATGCCTACCCCACAGGGGGCTGTCCAGTAGCTCTGCTGTGCTGTGCGGTGTTGTGCCCCCGCCTTACCCCTCCCTGACCCCTCTCCTGCCGCTCCCCTGCCCCTCCCCCACAGGGGCGCACAGCACAGCACAGCACAGCACCGCACAGCAGAGCTACTGGACAGCCCCATGCCCTGTAGGGTGGAAGGAGGTAAAGCGTAAGGCAGAGACGAGTGTTACCTAGCAAGGGTCGGTTAGTGTGATAAATGTCTCACCGAGAAGGTGGCGTTGCCGACGTGCAGGGCCTTGCGAATGTGCTGGTGCTGAGCGAGGTCTTTGTAGCCGTTGTCCTGGGTGCCGTTCCACAACAGGTAGTTACTGAGGGCGTCGAGGCCCGTGTCGGCCGGGGAGATGGGCCCGCCGCACTCGTCCTTCGACAGCTTCCTGGCCTCGTCCCAGTGGCCCTGCTGAATCAGCTTGATCTGCTGCGCTGCTACGGCCTTCATCTCGTCGCGGCCCTCCTCGTCCACGACCCCCATCTGGTACGCCACCTCGCTCTTGTCCAGCTGGCTCTCGGCCTCCACCAGCGCGTTGAACGCGGTTGAACGCGTCGTCCGAGTGCAGGATCTCGTGCGCGAGGGCCGTGGCCATCTTGCCGCCTTACGACTCGCCCGCAATGTACAGGTCCCGCCCGCGCTGCCCGGGGAACATGACGAAGAACTGGCGGAGCGCCTCGAACAGCGAGCGCGCCACCTGCAGGTGCACGAAGCGCCGTGGTAAATGTGTGCTTATGGTATGGTACCCATAGCCCTAGTCCCAACCGTTACCGACCTGCCTCACGTCCTTAGCCAGGCCCTCGGGGCCGCGCGTGAAGCTGTAGCCCGTGCCCACGGGGTTGTCAAAGTAGAGCACGGAGTGCGCGCGCGTCCACGCACTGCGGCGACGTCTGAGCTGCATGGTACGAGGGTCAAACTGGTACGGGCCGTTCTCCAGTTAAGAATTTTGTCGTTTTCACGGTGAGCGTACGCTCACGCTGGCGTGAGCGCGGCAGGCGAGAGGGGAGGCGGGGGTCGAGGCGGGGTTAACAGTTCTACCGCCGCTGCCTCCCCTCACCCTGCCCCTCGCCCGCCTCACGCTGGCGTGAGCGCACGCTGCGCTGAGCGTGGAAACGACCAATTCTTAACTGGATATAGCACTCATCATGCTGGTGCCGGGACCGCCCTGGAGGGTTGGAGAAGGGTTCAAGGTCTGCGCGGCATCCCACACGCCTTTACCTCTGATATCAACCAGAGGCTAACTGCGCTGGGGTTGTATCAACATAGACGTGCTCTCACTGTTATCTTGCCTGCAGCCAGACGACCAAGGGCGCCGTGCTGCGCCGCGTCTCGGACCGGAAGAACCAGAAGAAGAGGTTCGAGTCGTGCTTCTTGTCCACGGTGAGGAAGCCCGAGAAACTGGGACAGCAAGAGGGCAGCATGGCGGGCACCGCGGCCCGCCGCCTGGCCTCCAGCACGTCGCGTGAGGGGCGTGAGCCGCAGGGGCAGCTCGTCCGGGGGCGGCCGGGGCGCGGTGGGGGGCGGCCACCCGCCCACCGCCTCCTCCACGACCAGGGGGCCGTCCACCGTCAGGCACTGCCCCAGCGGCAGCAGCAGCAACAGGCGCCACGCCATGCTGCCGGAGCACGAGGCCGGCGCCATTGGGAAACAAGCACGGAGGGAGCCGGAGCCGGACAGAAGTCAGACCAGTCAGACCATGCCTGCCAAGATAGACGGTTCGCATCTTATCAGGGTGAGTGTGAAATTCTTTTATGCACGGAGTGGACTGTGGAGCGTGCCGACCACTGGCCTGCCTCTTTGGATAAAAAGAGGCTGTCTTACGGGCTTCGAGGTGCCTGTCTAATTCGAAACTGTGCGCTTACCTCACGTTTGGCTAACTCGTGCGGGCGGCGCCCCGTTGGCCCCGGTGCAGTTGCTATCGCCGTCCTCGGCGGGCCCGCGCGAAGTGAACCGCACTCGGCACCTCGGCACTTGACTGAGCCAGCCGGCTTGTCTCCTCCCTCCCCTCTCCGCTTCCGTCACCTGCCCGCCTCCCCTTCCCCTGTCCTCTCTGGGCATGCTATTGTCTCGGAGCTTTACTTTAATAAACTCATTCCGCCATTTCAACACCTTTCGGCTTGAAGCCTCACACCTCACGCCAGCACATGTGCGAGCGGCGTGTGAGTGAGAGGAGACCTCGGCACGGAGCTTTCGGACGCGTCCCGGCTGAGACACTCAGGCAAGTGCAAAGACCAGCGCCGCAGGTCATCATGGTCATATATGCCCAGGCCTCAAAAGACCTCTCAGCTTTCACGGCGACTCACGTGAGCCTCCGCTACTTACCCACACCCACACCCCCAGCCCAAGAAGGAGCAGCCCCCAAGCTGCCCCTCTTTGAGGTGGGACAGCGCAGGCCCTATCTAGAACGCGGTCGAACAGCGTCCAGCGACCAGCGACTCAGCGGCGTCGCGGCGTAGCCGCGGCGCATGTTGGGTCTTCGTAGCCCGGAGTCTTCCGGGTGGCAGGAATCTTGTGTCGGAGCCACGGCCCACCACCCCTCCGGCTTTCTTCGGCATCCTGCCTTGGAACAGA